TAAACATGGAGTCTTGAATATCTGTTTTTGCCAGGTCTGAATAAGTAAACGGTGTGCTTGTCATGGAAGCATCTTCATCTAGATGAATGAAATGGGAAATCACAGCTGTGAAGAAGTTGGTCACCCTTTATCTGCCATTTGGGTAGATAGGGGACTTTGATGTGCTTCCTGATGCAGAAAATCTAGGTCCAATCTTAAATATCTTAATAGTCTGCTAGCTTCAAAGGAACAGTTCTACAAGCTACTTATATGAGCCAGTGCTGCAGGATTGGAGTGTGTGAGGAATTGGTGGACATAAAAATAGTTGTCTAACGCAGTAGTACTTCACGCTGAGTTAGTTGGCTCTTATGATCCATGTGGTGTTTTTGCAGGATGATTATTTCCATAATTGTTCAAGCGTCTATTAAGTGCTAATTTCAGTAAGTTAAGTGTTCAACTTCAATTAAGTGTTTGGCAGAAAATACTGATTTGATACCATTGCGTTTCCTCAGGTTTTTTTTTAGGCTTGTTAACAGTTCTGCAAGTCAGCATCCTTGTCCATAGAATAGAGGTTGTGTCTGAAACTAGGAAGAGCTACCAGGTTTTTCGTTTGTTTGTTTTCATGTGGTTAATCACTATATTGCTAAGAGTATTTTCAGYCCAGTTTCATCCATCAGAAGCATGATTTTTTTTTGAACATGAAACTTGTATAAGAGAGCCTTCCAAAGGGGCATATGCAGGATGTGGGATTGTTGTAGTTTGTTCTGATGTAGAAACAAATTTTGCAGCCTTAACTCTGTAACAAACCAGAATCCTGGTATCTCAGTTGGCTCTCATTTTACAAAGTATCACCAAAAATCTGTAGGCTTGAGAAAACAGAACATGATACCATCTGCCATTAAATCTATTTGGCAACTGTGTTCAAAATTAAACTTTCAGATGTGCAGTTTGCTGCCACCATTGTTTAAAGCGCTTTAAAATAAGTTCAACTAAGCTGTCAGCGTGCTTCACTAGTGGGGTGCTTGGAACTGGCCCTGGTGTGTTTGATTGTAACTCTGAGCTATGTGAAGCTTCTTAATAGGGAGAGCTGYAGCCTTCAAAGAAACTGAAAGGTGACGGTGGGCCAAGTTTTCAGCTGATCTCCTCACTCGCCCTTTTCTCTGCTCTGTTTAACAGGCTTAGAGAAGGAAGTTACACTTGCTTTAATGTGGATGCCGGGTGAGTTTAATCTTGCCAAGACATCTTGGCAGCCGATGTTAATACACTAAGACTTTGGAGTAAGAAACATGTCTAACTGGGTAAATAAAATCCTCCTCTGGATGCTGCCGTCTGTGTAACCCTTCTCTGGTTGAAGGGATTTTAAGTGCGTAATAATTACAGCAGACATCAAAGTTGCCAAATAAAATGGCTTCTTGGCAGTTTTTTTATAGATGTTTTAGATCTAGTGTTGTTTGGTAGCCTAATTTCATAAGTCAATTAAGATTCATCGTTGCTGAAGCTTTCATTCAGAGATGAAACATTGCAGTTTGATTCTTCGAGGAGATGTATATGAAGCAAAAACACATGAATATTTATCTTCTGGTTCAAGTTATTTATTTCTGTCCCTTGAAGTACTACAGCTATGTTTTATTTGAGCTGACAGATCAAGAAAAGATGGGATTGCCTCTTATTCCCTCGTCATGCTGTGGGACTATTGTTTTTTAGTTCTTATATTTTTAATGATGGCATGAAGGCTGTTCGTATTTACTAGTCCACTGGCTCTTTTCAAGTCTCCTACTCTGGAGAGAAGTGTCCTGGACCTAACTTAGAATGAAGATAGCAAACTAATAGAAATATTGTTCTTTATAAACTTAGGTTGTTAGATGGACTAAAGAGGCTCTGGCTAGATTTTCTTTTGCAAAAAACTAATTTTAAATTCTGTCCAAATTATCTCTATCAAATTGCACTTATGTCTTTTCTACCCATTAAAGTGAAATTCTGAAAGTTGAGCATCTCTTTGGAAGTCATGCGACTCCTCCCTTCCCTTATCCCCTCTGGCAAGAATTGTGCAGTATTTCAGTCATGTGAGATCTGATAGAAAGTTTTAGCGTTTAAATAGCGGGAAGGTCCTGATCTTAGCCCCACAAACACTTTTATTTTCTGTTGAGGAATGGAATTTGAGCATGTGTTACAACAAACTTCAGAGATACTAGTCCAGGTAGATAAATGGCATAGGGAACATCAACTTCTAGTATGCAGCAGAGCTGTAGGCAAATGGTGTTCCAGACAACTGTTCTGGCTGGTACGCCCAGCGTCATGTGCAGAGTACTGGAACCCTTCCTGGTGCATCAGGCAGTGGATCTTGCACCTTGGGTTTCAGAGCAGCTTCTCTGCACGTGCTGCTCAGGGGCACAGCGAACTGGCACTCTGCTCTGTGCAGCGCAGCTTTGAGAGCCAGGCGTGGTACCCAAAGCCAGATCCCCTGGCCCTGTTGCTGCCAGGCTGCCCRTTCAGGCAGTCCTTGACAGAACACTTTGAGGCTGTTGGTAAGCAGCTGACTGACAGTTGTAGTAAAACTTCATGCCTTCCTTGTGGGAGCTTAGCTGTCACAGTAGTGAAAGTGATGGGAACACTTTAATTCTCTGGTTAGCCCTAGACTGCTGCTAATGTGCTGTGTGAAGGCTGTAAAGCAGATCCTTTGAGGGAAGCCTGTTTTTCCCTGAGCGACTGACTCTCAGGATCTGTTCTAGTCCTGACGGTGCCGTGGGGGACGTTGGTGCGCCGTTCATGCTTAGAACTGTTGCTGAGGCTGTTGCTCAGTCATTTCTTGTCATCTGGGACAGCTGTTTTTCTGGCAGGCCGTATGTCAGCCTTAATAAGTTCCTCCTCTGCAGAGTGTGTTGCAAGCTGTGTTCTGAGCTCAGTGCAGATGTATACTCTTATTTCTGCAGTGTTTACTGCAGCTGCATGCTTTGTATTGTCCCTATGTTGTCACAGTGGATATAAAGCACAGAGTAGATTATTGCATATAAAAAAATAKGTTAAATTGATCCTAGGCTGGGAGCTTTCTTATGCAGGAATATTGCATCCCTTCCTTTGACATATCTGTGATAATTTTAATAAAGACATTAACTGCAGTTGCTAGCGTGTAAGTGAAGTTGCCTTGGTACATAATGGAAAGTGGGGGAAGAGGCAGATTACAAATGTTGAATATGAAGCAAACAGGGTGTGTTTGCCTTCTGACATTTCAGCTTAGTTTGAGGTAACTCCTTGTTGTTGCAGTTAATAAAAGTATTTTTGTGGCCTTTTTGCTCAGGAAAACAAATACTGCTATCAGTATTTGTTCTGATAACATGAATTTGCATTTATTTCTGCTAAATAAGGAGTAGAATTTGTAAGAATTGTGTGTTAAGCTATTTACAGGTTCCTTTGAGAAAGTTGATTACAGGCCAGGTATTTGGACTAGTTTTCCCAGCATGRTGTAGCCTGACTCTGGTGCGAAGTATATTACTTTATCATTTCTTAAATTACCCTAGCACCCTAAGAGAATGTTGTGGCTATTGTTTAAAGTGACTGCCATGAATATCTTGTTCTTTGTTTAGGTAATAGCTACAAATATTGTTCATAACTTAGAGGGATATGACTGAACTCTCACTTTCAAGTAACCAGGAGCTTTAAGTGTACTGTGAGGTGCATATCATAAAAAGAACTTCTCTATAGCTTAACTCTTAGTTATCTAAAACCTTTTGCTCCAATTGTACTTAGTAAATGTTTTTGTGGGAAAGCCACAGCAGCTCTGTAGTGCAAAGAGGAACTGTATTATTCATCATACATTTCCAAATCCTGTTGCAATGCAGTGATTATCATGAGGAGGAGGGAGAAATTTGCATTCAGCTATATGACCTTGTTTACTTTAAGGCTTTTAAAGAATGTCTACTATCATTGCTGAGTCTCAATTCTTATTCCCAAGTGCCTTCTTTGGAAAACTATAATGTGCTGCAGTGCTTGTTGTCAAGGATCTGTAAAGCTTGCAAGCTGATATGAATATGATGGTGTTTGGATAGGCGGCTTAAAGAAGGGCTGTGAACTGAATAAGGGTTCACCTTATTGTATGCATGTGAACTGAATAAGGGTGGCACCTGTAGTGCTGATCTCGAGAGCGCCGCATGCCGCGCTYATCCATTCCCGGCTTTGGTATGAGCGAGCGTTCCTTACAAAGCGAGGACGGGCTTCTGCTGGGCTCGATAATGCAGTAATAGGCACATTGATTTGTACTCACAGTGCAGATTTCAGTATTTAATTTCTTGGTAGTGAATTACGATTGTGAAATTCATTAATGTAAATAGGCACTTAAAACACCATAATTCATTCTACTATTAAGATGGTGTTTAACATCCTGGTTGATTGATCCAGAAATCTCAGTTAGCTGCTACCTTTGAGCCAGTTACTGGTTAGGAGGGTTTCTGTCTTTGGTTTTATAGCAGCATGAATCCTGCTGGGTTGAGCTGCTTGTATCTTTTAGAAGGGAAGCTGCTGCTCCTTGGCCTTCTGCAGACAGAACATCTGCTGATTCACTGAAAGCCTTCAGGTGCTTCTGACTTGATAGTATTTTCAGCTGTTGCATCCTTCCCTAGGAGAATGTGATACTTTGACGTATCTATCGGCAACAAGTTTCTGATTTAAGCAAGGGAGTTGAAGGTTTAGTAGTCTGTTGCTGCAGAAAGCACAGGAAAGGAGAAGGAAACAGCTGAGCAATTGCAACAGCAGTGTAGTAACACTGGAGAGGAGCAGCTGCRTACAGTTTTGTCCTTAGTGACCTTGTAAACAAGAAATTACTGAAGATTTTGTGGAAGCTTAAATACTAACCATGATGCAAGSACAGGTACAAAATCTGGCAGATAAAATAGGGAGGTTCTGAGGGAACAGACCTGAGATGAGAGAGCAAGTGGCAAACCGAAATTCCTAGCCTTGACAGACACAATGGATGTAATGTTTGCCTTGAAGTATTAACTAGGATGAACTATAAAATTGGTCAGCTATTTTGGCTCTTTCTTCTGARTGAGGAATTGGAAGGACTGCATATGTATGAGGTATTAAAATGGTTTTATTTCCGGTTAGTGAGGTAAAAAGACTTTGAGTTAGAAGGGGAATCGTTCGACTTCTTTTCTTGCAGAGAAGAAAAGAAGAAATTGGCTTCAACTGTGGCAAGCTGATGCTAGGAATAGCGTATACTTCTGCCTTTGTTCCTTCTAATTGGAAAGGAAATGTGCAAGTTATAATTACTCTGGAAAAACTCTACTGCCACAAAAGCAATGGGATCGTCAAGGATCATAAAAATCAAGACTGACAGATTTAGGTTGTCTTGGAGGTGATAATGAYAGCATGCTCTGCTGTCGTTAACGCGGTACTTGGCTGCTCATCTGTACTTTGTGAACATTTTTAAAAGTGGAAACAAAATTTTCTGATTCTTTTCCTTGGACTAAAATTGAGTGAAATAAACATGCTTAGATTACACCATTGCCAACCATCTGGAATAAATCTAATTTAGCCTGTGCATAACCCAGAGCTGAAATGCTTTGTAAATCTAACTTATTTGCAGCGTGTGCAGAAAAAGTATTTTATTTCTTACACTATTTCTCCAGAGGGAAGAATCCGCAGCTGTTTCTTCAAGAGTTCATAGCAGTAGCTGGACAAAAATTCTGTAATGGTCTGACCGGATTTCAATAGATACTGATGGTATTGTGTGGAATAAGTCCACCGTGCTCTCCATGCCTGTATTGCTTGCATGGAATTTAACTTGTGGTTTACAAATTATATTTAACAATAACATATATGATGTATTTATTTACACACAGAAAACAACTGTGACCTAGTGCATCACTTTTTTTTGTTGTTGTTTTTCTCTTGTGTGAGAGGTAGTGTCAGCTTCAGAATTACTTTGGTTCAAAGACTATTTACTGTGAATGCAAAAATCCAAGTGTGCAGCTTTCTTTTGCCGTGGAAAGAAATGGGATAATTAATATAAAGTGTGTGTGTGTGTGTGTGTGTAAGAAGTGTGGAAGGTACTAATTCTTTTTTCCCTGTCTGGTCAAATAGATCATCCGAAACAGCTTGGTATTTGCAAATAAAGATCTGGAGACACACGAATACTTAATTTTTAAATCAAGCTCAACGATGCATTAGAGGAAGCTGRATTGGCTGTACAGAGATTTCATGCTGAAGGATGAACAGTGAAGAAGAGTTTTATGATGCCGTTACGGGTGAGTGATGGGCACAGTGCTGAAAAAAACTACAGACTGTATTGTGTTTGTGACAAGGGGACAAGAATCTCTTCCCATTAAGAATAAAGAAGAAATAAAATGCCCTAGCTATGACCTTTTCCTTTTCAGAAGAAGGAAAACAGTTCAGTGATGTTTTCTTTGGTGTTTTTTTTTGTTTATTTTTAAACAATTATTCTGGTTATCATTTTCTTATCACTGGTAGCATGATTAGTCCTTTAGCGCTGATGTCTTGCTTTCATTTTCTATAAATAATTACTCTGGAAAAACTCTACTTCAACAGGAGCTCGAGGTAATGCTGTTAAAAGACTTCGAAAGGTGAAACATCTTCCATAGATTCTTGTTATCTATTTTAACGGGAAAATTGTTCCAGAGAACTAAAGAAGAAGAAACAGAAACAGTCAGAAACAAATTGTTATAAAAATACACTTTCAAGATAGGGAGCCAAAAGTGTTGTCCCTAGAAAAGCAAACATGAATCACTTCACACATGTCAACTAGTATTTTTCCTTGAATTGATAAGGACTAATGGTTGTTTATAAAAGCCTTGCATAATTTTAGGGGTGAAATGAGATGCTTAAGGCATTTTTATAATAATAATAAAATCCTTTCAAAAAATTGAAACGGCTTAACATGAGAAATGCTGATAAAAGTGAATGCAGAACCCTTAGCTTAGAATCAGGCAAATGGAAGGGGAGTAATAGCAAGCATTAACATGTATGGAATAAAACTAGTATGTCAGGTACAAGTGGGTAAGGTGGACTTATGCGGTTGGTTTGAAATTCCTCAGAGGAGTTAACAGAGGGTGAAATGATTTGGTTTGCAGCACGCTGTACAGGACTGCTCAAAAATCCCCCACTGAGAGAAAAAGGAGATTTGGATTGCATTCTCACCAGCTAGCAGTGATGTGGTCCAGATTCCTCTGTAAAATCCAAATAGTGCTACTGTTAAAACCTTGAAGTCCCCATGGATGTTTTTAGTATGTTATTGGTAATCATTTAAACCTGATGTAACTACAGTTGTCTGTAATTACTGTTTAATAACATCTACTTCTACGGCATGAATCTGTCCTAAGGAAACTTGCTCTTTGTCAGGATGGATTTCATTTTTTTTTTTTTTTTCTTTTATGTCTGTTTTCTTGACACTATCCCTGTCACATCCAAAAGACAAGCTCATATATGGTGGAATTGCATACTGAGTGCTTGGAAAACATGTTGCTTTGAGTAATTCATTCTGTTCTGTGTCACCTAGGGTTTATTAGTCTTACTGTAGACTTTAAGTTAGAAGCTACATGCCATAGGGTTCTGCTGTGCTAGACTGTATCTGCTGAAGTACTTTGGGAAAGGATTGTGATAGAACAGCAAAACGCTTAGCTAATTACCAGAATAATATCCTGTTTTTTAAAATAATCATATTCTTTTCTTTTTTTAAATGTTAGGCTGCAGTCCCATACAATCTCCTGTCTGGGAGGCTAAGCTGGCCTGGTGCATCTGTGAACATGATGCTCTTCAGCTTCCTACTGCTTGATTGTTTCCTGTAGTCCATTTCTTCCTCTTGGGGCAGAGGAAGGGGAGGTGTTAGCTGCCAAATTCATATGTTTTCACAGGGTTTGGATCAGACCAAATCAGGAGATTCTGCCCTGGGGTTTAAGTAATGCAAACCTTGCGAAAGGTCGGCTTGCTTCCTATTGGAAACAGRTTGATACAGCTAGATGTTGTGAGGACTGACTTCACGGAAAAGAGGAGAAAAATGGGACTTTYGGCAAAGAAAAAACGTGCCTCGTTTTACATGTGATCTAAGTTTCCTGCATCCTGATCCTGTTGTAGGTCTATAGGTTTTTGCTGCTCGGCTGTTTTGATCCCCTTTCTGTTTTGAGTGACAAGGCTTAATTAGTATTTAAGGAAGTTGTTGGCAGCCTATGGAAGGGGCGGTCTCGTCTCTCTGTGTGACTCAGAGTGTTGGGCCTCCTTGCTGCCTCGGAGGTGGACGAGTAGCATAGTCCGAGTGGACTTGGTTCGTTTGCAGCATGGGGAAGAGGAAGGCTATGAAAACTAGAGTGGCTGGCAAGTTATTTTTTCTTTAAGCTCTTGAAATACATTAATGTTGGCACCCAAGTTAAGTATATGTTSTATGAAATTGAAAATTTAAGGCTTTTTAAGAGCTTTCATTTCTTCCTTAACATAGGGGTTGGAACGGTTGCTTTAGCCAATTGTTAATGATTTGTCTTTCACTGGGTGGTTGCCCTACCTTTTAAATCGCTACTTTTGTCCTTATCCCCTGKGTTTTTTCACTGTAAAATATGGCCTGTAATTAGAACTTACCTGCTCAGTTCTAGGAGTTCAAGATTTTAATGACAACTGGAGGCATTTTTCTTGTAACTTAGAAAGGACTGCAACAAAACATTTCATTGGGCTTTTCTTCTGGATCAGTAATTCTTCTGTGAAGAATGTCCTCTGGATAGCTTTTTGTAGAACTATAATACTTTGACTTTTCCCAACAAGCAATTTTTATAACTTCATTGAATTATAGTAGATGAACCAGCTGTTAAAGCTGGATGTCACAGCTGTTGGAAATCTAGTGGTTACATAGCTGTGTACCTTAATTAAGAAAACGGGAAATAATATAACTGGGTAAAGATGTATTCTGACAAAGAGGACTAGCACTTCTGATGAATCTTTTTGTTTTGGAGCCGGTTTTAATTTTTTTTTTTCCCCACTTTATCATTTAGAGTAATAAGTTATATCATTATGTGATACAGTACTTGCCTTCTCCATCTCCTTGTAACAGGAATCAGTAAAAGGTTACTATATAATTAGAAATTCCATTTTAAATAATAAATACTCTTTTAGTGTGGTTTAACTAAAGATAGACACATGTTTTTCAAGACAGGTGTTTCAGGGTAGTCTTCATTTTAATGACCTGAGCAAATATAACTATCATTCTTTCCAATTAAGTATGAAGACCTGCTAAGGTGTGGTTATTGCTGTGTAATTATATGCTTGTGACATCAAAATGTAGGGGAGAGATTAATACATTACATCAGCCTTTAGGCATGCAGTTTACCAAATAAGATAATATCAATGATATTTCCTTCTGTTTTGAAGGTTATCGATATAGTTTTATACCTTCTAAAAATGCAGCTTTTTCATTCTGAATGAATGACTAGAAAAAAATAACTCTAATAAAAGTGCTATCCTGGGGATATTTTTTACTAGACTAATAATTGTATGAAATATGTGTATTTTTACTTAGACTTTTGTTTCTTCTTCAATCAACAGATTAGAGAGATTTTTACAGAAATGGTTTCAAAGTAGCTCTGCTGTCTACAGAATCAGACATGCAATTTGCTTTGCTGTTTTTGCTTTGCTATGCTTTGCTAGCCTTTTTTTTTTCAGCATTGAATTCAAGTAATTTTCCTGAGGAGATCAAGGTAGACATAGAGGTGTGACCTCATACTTGAATTTGATGTCACCTCGTCCTGTTATTCGTGGTTGGAGTTTACCTGTGTGTTTATGCAAAACAGGGTTTTGTACCAAAGTGCCATGGTTGAGAACTTTAGTCTGTATTTGGATTCTTTTGTAAGAAGCTGCTTTTTTTCTTAGATGTTAAACTTAAGGGTTTAGTGTTAGACCTTTAGAACTAGTCTTAGACTTAAGGAATCCAAAGCTGCTTGCCTTTTTTTTTTTTTTTTTTTCCCCCTCCCCTTAATTCATGTAAATATTTAAGGAATCTGTACTTTTAATTTTAATTAATTTCATTAATTTCAATGTACAAAATCTAGTTGTTCTTTAGACGCACACACATGCTTTCGTAATTTTTTTATTTAAAAGTGAATGTGAAAATAAATCATCACGAGTTTTTAACTGAAAAAAGGAGTAGTTTGACCATAGAAGCTTGTATTTTTGTAGATTCCTGTCAATTTTAGCTTCTTTGGTAAGYAGAGCTATTCAAGACATGTTTTTATTTTGGATGCTAGTTTTTTAGCTCCAACAGTATTTCCAGTAGCTCAGTAGCTTTTTATTTATTTTTCCCCAGGGTATTTCCACTTCACAAGTGGATGGAGTTAAGGTTGTAGGAAATGGAGCCACTTACTTCAGGTCACGCCTTGGGTCACTTGTAGARCTCAATGAATGATTCATCTTGATTTCCACAGGTTCCTGCTGTAGCCATTAAGAAAGCGTTATGTGCCTTTGTACAAACACATGGCAAAAAACCCTGTGCCCTGTGCTCTAGGTGTCCCTGCTGGGGCAGGGGAGTTGGACTGGATGATCTCTAGAGGTCCTTTCCAACCTTAATGATTCTGTGTTTCTGTGAAAAAAAAAAAAATAGGTATCTTAAACTTCTGTTGTTGTAGTATTCTGGTTGTTAGCAGTACGAGTAGCCATAAAYATACTTTTTTTTGCACATTTTTAAGGTTTTGGAGGAAAATTAAATGTAAGCGAACAAAATTGTTGTAATCACACTGCAGCTCTGAAGAAGACAACAATATATGCAATCTGATTAGGAGCTATTGAAGAACTCATAAGATTTTAAATTGATTTTATATTCAGCAGCATAAAAAGTAGTTGAGGATGCTTGATTCTAATGCAATACTTGGCTCTAAATACTCTTGGAAATTAGGTCACTTACTAGAAGCTCTTTGCTCTGATATTTTCAAAATAAAATAACTTGGGTATGAGTATACTTCTGCTATGAGAGTCACAAAATTGTTAAGTGGCATCTGTGGGAGTAATAGGATTCCTAGGATAACTATTGTTATATTTTTTTAAACAGGCTTTGATTCTGACAATTCTTCAGGGGACTTTTCAGAAGCGAATCATAAAGCTGCGGAAATGCTTGATCTAGATCCACACCAAAGCAGTCGGAGTGGAAAACATAATGGAGAGACAGATATTCAAGAAAATGGAATTAAGAGACACAGGTAAGCACATAGGAAGGCATAATAAAGAAATGTGTAAGTGCTGACTCACTCTTTTGGGGCATTGAGAACTTTTACCCTCTGGAAGAGGTCATTTTTCTGGAACCCAAAAGATATTTCACCTGCTCTGTCTCTTCTGTCAGCTACAGAGCAAGACTTTGCTGCCTCTGAAGTACTCTCAGATCTACGAATGAATACATCCCTTCATTTAAGGGACTGATAGTGATAGTTGTTGTTTTCTTCCTATTACAGGACATCATTACCTGCACCAATGTTTTCTAGAAGTGATTTTAGTGTGTGGAGCATATTAAAAAAGTGCATTGGACTGGTAAGTTAATTTGGATGAACAGTGCTGTTCTAGCTTCAGATGGTTATCCTTATTGTTTAAAACTTTGACACAGAATAATGCCTGATGCATTCTTCTTTTGTAGAGATGTTTGTGGGATTTTTTTTCTTCATTTGCACTCTTTAAATTTCAGTATCTGTTTAGTTAATTGTACTGTTTGGTTATTTCTTGTCATTTGATAACCTGGTGTTGTGTCTAGGAAATGAGCTTTTACTTTTTGTCATCTAGGAGCTGTCTAAAATTACAATGCCCATTGTCTTCAATGAACCATTGAGTTTCCTTCAACGAATAACGGAGTATATGGAACATATATACCTCATTAATAAGGCTTGTAGTCAAGCAGATCCCCTGGAAAGAATGCAGGTATGGAACAGCTTCCACCTCCTGATTAGCCCAGAAGTCTTCCACTCCCAGAGTGTTCTCTTTAAGACAGTGTTTCAGTACAGTCCATTGCACCCTCTGGGTCTAGTTATAAGAATCCCCATATTATCCTTCTAGACAGGTTTCTTATTTCATAGTGGTTGGTATCAGGTGCTTGGGTCACTTTCACACTTGATACTCTTGTAGATACTGAGGCGAAAGTCTAGTGCAGGAGATAGCCTTGACTGACCAGGGTCCTGAACCTTTTCAGTGCTACTTAACCATAATGTTCTTGTGTGTGTTGTGAAGTTGAGGTCTTGCCTTTAAATTACTGTAAATTGATTTGTTGAGTGACTCCATGCTTTTTAAATTATCAGATAAAAATTGTTGTGACATGGAGAAACTTTCCTATACTTTGGTGGTACTTCAAAACAGATATAATATCTGACTAGTTTCGCAGTAAAGAGTTGGGCATGATGATGCTAAGCCAGTGTACGTTAGGGTGTGCTGAGTATTATGTTAAGGTATTGCTCATAGMTCTATTTTAGTTGAGAGAAATTGGAGTGTACGTGTTGTATTCTGTGTTTGTATAACACATACCCCTACTTACCAGTCTGTGAGAGCTTCTAAGTGTCATTTGTGCCTGCTAGCAGGATTCAAGAAACATCCCATCTGCATTAGAAATGATGCTTGACTAGTACTCAGAAAAGCAAGACTCTGTTCCCAGCATACAAGTGTGGGGGACAGTCAAAACATGGGAAAAGCAGATTTAAAAAAAAAAAAAAAAGGCCAAAACAAAACATATTTTTAGAGGTAGTTGTAGAGGTAGAGCAAACYCTGGCAAAGTACTGAAGAAAACAATTGTGTTTTGAAAATGAGATGGTTATAAATTGCCTCTATTTTCCCCAGTTCTATATTACTTAAATCCTGTGGCTTACAAATGTTTTAACCTTGAGCAATATTTAGTTCCTTTGTTTTGGACAAATAGTAAAATATGGTAATATGTAGCTATAATGTGCAGAAGTTGTTCTTTTAATGTACTGTTCTCATTTATTCTGATTTGCTTTTAGGCTGTAGCTGCTTTTGCAGTTTCTGCTGTAGCTTCTCAGTGGGAGAGAACTGGCAAACCATTTAACCCACTTCTAGGAGAAACCTATGAATTAACAAGGTAATAATTACTTTAAATAGGGAACTGTTTGTGTTGCTAACAAACTKTGATGTTAGCTTGGTTGTTCATGCAGTGGAATAAAAAAAAATCTGTTAACACACATTTCTGCAATACAGCTTTTTTTCTCCACAGTAACACWTTTTTTTTGAGATGTTATTATAAACTAAGATTTTTATTTCTATGTTTAGGTAGACTTTTCTTTGAATTACTTGGAGTAAAAAAAGGGTCTGTAATGTTCTGAGAGACATTTCTCCTGACCCAGATATTAATGATTAATTAATTTTAAGTGTTTTGCTGATCTTGTCAGATACAGGAATTGAGAGACTTCCAGTCTGCTTAAACTAGTTGTATATATGCTGTGGAGAAAATGACTTCTAGTAAGATCTACTGCTGCCCAAGTAGCTTCAGAATTTTCAGCAGYTATTTTAAACAGATTCAGATGCTTTTCTTGGTAAAAGTCAGATAAGARTTTTGACTGTGGATTGTCTTGGGGTTCAGGAAGGAAGTTGTTCACAGAGTATTGTTTCCTTCCTTTTGTTATTTGTGTGCCTTGGAATTTGCACGAGTGTTAATTTTTTGTTCTGCTGTAATATTTAAATATATATGTGTATATATAGCAGTTGATTACTTACTACTCCCTCTTTGTTTGTTTTTTAAGGGAGGACTTAGGTTTTAGGTTTATATCTGAGCAAGTCAGCCATCATCCGCCTATTAGTGCGTTTTATTCCGAAGGCCTCAATAAGGACTTTGTTTTTCATGGATCAATCTACCCCAAACTAAAATTCTGGGGAAAGAGTATAGAAGCTGAGCCTCGGGGAACAATTACTTTGGAGCTGCTAAAGTGAGTATGAGGGGGGGGAAAAAAAAGGAAGTATTTTTATGCTTATCTCCTTAACACTTAATTGTATAAAAATAGATGATGACATCCTGTTGATTCCTCATAGATGAGTTTGTGAAAACCTCTTTTCAAAGGGATTGCAGGGGTTAAGTTACAAGTTATTGTTCAGTGCTTAATTTCAGGGCTCTCTTGTTGGAGTTATGCTTGCACAGCTGCAGCAATTAAATGCTGCTTTTCTACTATGAAAATCAACATTTCTTAGATTGAATGCTACTGAAAAACAGTTCCTTGAAGGCAGTTAAAATTTAAAGAGCAAAAATTCTATTACCAGGCCATTCAAACCCATTTTACTTTTACATTTCATAGTTGGTTTTGATCATTTGAAAATGTATCTCTGTGTTTCTGTGAAAAGCATCACTTCAGAATAGTTGTACTGGGCTACAGGGAGACCCGAGGAATTCATCAGGGTGTCTGTCACCTATTTAACATTTTTTATTTTTTTTCTTGTGGATGGTCACTTTCCTAATAAAGTCACAGGTGCCTTTCCAGATTACTTCTAGACTTCTTTCTAATCAGTTACATCTCTTATATTATATATCTAATCAGTTACATCTCTTATATTACATCTCTTATATTATGCTTTCCATAAGTTGTTTTTTGCCCTTGTGGCACTAACATGCTTTATAATTCCCAGGTCACAAACGTACACAAGTCATGTCACATGTCTTTTATAGTCACAGAAAAAGCATTCTGCAATGAGCATGTCAAGGTGCTTCTGTAAGAGCTTTACCCAAGCTTAACTTAGGTTATTCTGAAATATCTTAYGAAACTCCTAGATCTTTTTTTCTCAATAAAGAGGCAACTTTTCTGCTTTATAAGGTTTTGCTATATAGAGTGGTGATAGAAAGATAGGATATTTCTTCTGAATATATAAAGATTGTCATTGTAGGATGCRCTTAACAAAAATCAAAGTTTGTTGCTGGAGATAGACTTTATTCAGAAGGCTGTTAGAATCCCTGTTCTGCTGAATCAATTTACAGCATGCTGTAAATAAAGAGCAGTGTGAATAGCATATCTTAATATTTGCTTCAGGTTAGTAGTATACATTGAACTCAAATTTTGAACTGCCTAAACATGTGGTGATTATTGCTGTTACGGTTTGTATAGGTCTGAGAGCTACTCAGAACTGAGCTCATAACAAGTAACTGTTTGGTTTCAAAACTGAAAGTCAGTGAAAGTGCTGCATTTGTGTCAACCATCACCATAAAATGTGTATTCTGAAAAAACGCATTAGAAAGCACCCTTCCTCCTCACTCCTCCAGCACAAATACTAAAATGCCTCAATTTGACAGCACTGGGCATGAGTGCCGTGCATTAAATTTTATGCTGTAAAAAGCTTTTGCTATCAAGTAGTTCACGAACAAAAATTTGTACCAAGACTGATATGATAAAGCTCTTCTCTTTCTTCTGAAGAGCAGCAGTCCTTGTTCTGCAGCGTGCTTGCAGACAGCTCGCTGGGGAAAATTGTCAAATTTCAACAGTCTGCGCTGTACTGGAACATGATTGAACAGTTGGAGATATTTACTGCTTGTGCTCCATGAATACTCCACGGAAGCAGTAGCACAAGGCACTTGTCATTAAAAAGGACATTGCTTGTTTTCTATATTATGGGTATTGAAATGAAATTTGCAAATTTGCCTTAGATATCTTGATTGTTCACCAGGTAGCATTGGCATTTCTTTCATCAGTATTGAAAAAGTACTGAAAATGAGTGAATGTAGAGGATTTTGACTCTGCCAAGCTGAAAAGCCCTAGATATGAAAWTTTTTTCTTTAGTTCTTTTCAGTACAGCTTGAGGGAAGGAGGGCAATAACAAACCCCACTTGGAATGCATTGGATTGCGTTCAGTCACAGTGGATTGGGTTTCATACACAATAGACTTTTGGCATATTTGTGGAAAGAGGTGCATTTTAACTGTTCTTCCCCCTACRTGTACTTTCTAATCCCTTCAACCGCTTGCCTGGGAGAAAGGGTCTTGGTGTTAGAAGCTCAGTGTCCTTGTCAAGTGTGTTGACTCCTGTCATTCCTTCCAGGTTCTGAAGCTTTTACCACCATTTAATTTATTTATACAAATATGTAAATATATAAAAATATATTTATTTTGTCCTGCCACAAATAGAACAGAAAATAGACTTACATTCTGTTTCAAGTTCCAGAAATGGATTTCTTTTTCTGCTTTCCTTACAGGCATAATGAAGCTTACACATGGACAAATCCAACGTGTTGTGTACATAATGTAATTATTGGTAAACTGTGGCTAGAACAATATGGAACAGTAGAAATTGTAAATCACAGGTAACCCTAATCATGAAACTAAGGGTTGGCTTGTAGGGACAGTTGCAGATTGTTGCAAAAAAGATACTGAAATAGAGCACAGTGTATGTTCGTGAAATCTTAGTTCAGAGTTTCTGACAAGTGCAATTTAGAGAGAACTTTTAAATGCACTTAGCTTAGTTTTCCTATACTGGTCATTTGTACAATTTCTGTGTATTTTATTAAAAAAATAGTTGCTAATAGTTGCTAATCAATTTGAAGTGTGATGAGTTACTGTGGGGTTTAGGCAGTCTGCAGGACTGCATTCATTTTATTCCTAATGTCTTCAGTAAGTTTTAGATATATATGTAATTCAGGAGTTTATTTCGTATTTTCAGTTGACTATCGTAGGCCTGTGATACCATTACAGCCACATTGTTTTCATGCTGATTACTTCTAGTTTTGTGTAACTCTGAAATTTGTGTTGCTTTTAATGCTCTGGCTAGAAGATAAACTGTAGCTAAGGGAAAATAAGGAAATAACTAGACATCTGCCAACTCCCTGTTAACCATAAGCATATAAAAGAAGCTAAATAAAGTGCAGATAAAGAAGTTAAACATACTAGTGTGTGTGGGAGCTTGCACAAGGAGTTTTGTTTTATTATGTTCAAAGTCTTTGTTTTTAAAATTATTCCTTGTTTCTTTTTCAGTACTGGTGATAAATGTGTCCTTAATTTTAAACCATGTGGACTGTTTGGGAAAGAGCTCCACAAAGTAGAGGGCTACATTCAGGACAAAAAGTGAGTGATAAAAACCTCGTTACTTCTCTCTTTCTGAGCCCTATGGCATTTATTTTGTGCTTGCATGGTGACTGCAACCAGTGTGGGTGCAATGTTCTCAGCAATGTAACCGTTTCTGTTTTCTGTGTCAGTATTAAATCCCTTGATTTTTTTTAGGAGTTTAATACTGACTTTTCAGTACATATTAGGAAAACTCTGTAAGTCCAGTGGTTTGAAATAGAGGGAAAATACGTAGTGGTTGCAACTGACTTATTTACATTATTAATATTATTCACAATTCCAGTCTTTAGTTTAAGATATGGAGATTACAGTAGTTAGAAAATCTTAATGAGGGTAAAACCTGTAATGTGCCTCTGGATCTCACTGTCTTAAACGGTTGACTTCTCTGCACCCACACTCATATTTTAATTGACAAAAAATGTATAATTAACTTGTGAAGATATGCTATGCGGAACTGAACGCCAGAAAAACTGGAAGAAGCTGAACTCTTTTCCCAATATTAAATTCTCCCAAGTTAAATTTTCAGATTTCAAAAAAAAAAAAAAAAAAAAAAAATCTGCAGGCAAAAGAATAAAATAAAACCAGGTAGGAATCTTTGTATTTAATAATGATCAGGGTTTGCATGACTTTAGCTTAGAAGGCTGTATAGAAGAAAAAAGCAAAAACTGAGTCTCTCCTTTGCTTATTTAACTACAGTAAAAAGAAGCTGTGTGTGATCTATGGCAAGTGGACAGAATGCTTATGGTGCACTGATCCTACCACATATGAAGCTTACAAAAAGAATGAAAAGAGAGGTGGTGAGCAGAAGAAACCAAAGCAGGTAAGACATCAGGAGAAATGAGACTGAAATAGCTCCCTGTATATAATCTTTACAAAAAGAGGGAGGTGGTGGGGAGTGAAGGGTTAAAACAGTCTAGTTGGTGGCGATGCAGTGTCAGACCCATGAGACGGCAGTGCACTTTGAACTTGTGTTGACTTTAGCGAGAGCTGCTGGTATTGAGCGAGCTYGCCGAAATAGAATTTGCTAATGGATTTGTTGTAGAAGTCGTCAAATATCAACTCCCAAGCTAAAGTTGTTCTGTCTTTGAATAAGGAAATGGGTCTGTTGCCAGCTGCGGACATGAAAATTCCAGGATTTGGGTTTTGAAAGAAAGAATGCAACTCTCTGCTTTTTTTGTTTGTTTAATACCGTTTTGTTGACGTGACATTTTAGTGTCTCACATAGGCTTGACAGCAAGAATGTCTGGAAACTTTTTTTTTCCTTCTCTTATAAGCAGAGTGTCTTATTCATTTAAGTTGCTTGCGTTCACTTAGGCACCATTAAAACATGGTGTTTTATGAAAAATGCAAAATGTATGAAGATTCAGCAAAGGACTGCTGGGTTTCCAGATGTCAACAGAGGCTGCAGACCCTGGTTGCTTGTTCAAAATGAAAATGATAGTCTAAAGTTAATGAATAGCTTTAGTTTATGAGGCCCAAGCTTGGGATGGGAATGGCAAGCATTTACATGAGAAGAAACTAGAGCAACAACAATAGGCCTTGTTTTTTGTCTCTGGATTCTGTCATGGTACAGACATTTATTTTGACTTTTTTTAAAAAAAAAAAATTCTGTTCAGCTTATGAAAATCAGTTATTTCCTTCCTTCCTGTTGAATTTATATTTAGATGGGGAATTATCTAACAGTAAACCAGATGTTGATGTGGAAAGTAGTCTGAAAGGATGTTTTTAAAAAATGAATACTCAAACCGAATGATTTGAAATAAGAATCTGAACTGTATGGAACCATCTTCCAGCATGTAAAACGAGGCCTGCTTAACAGGGTATTTTTGAATAAAGTAAATGACCTATGAGAGATGAGACAGAAAGAGAAGGAAGAAAACTCTCACATCGTCACTTCAGGAGTTTGTCTCAAACTTCCCTTCTGGTTGTTACGGCTTTTGGTAGTTTCTCATGCTGGAATCCTCTGGGTGTCTACAGTTTAGCAGTCCATGTCCTAAGGCAGTCAGATTCTCCTGTAGATCAGGCTGATGACAAGAGGCAAATATGCAGGAAAGGTTTTCAGGTAGGCTGAGGAAGCTGCCAGGTGATCCATTGTCTTTGCTGTTCAACCGGATCAAAAAGCTTCTGGTGCTGCAGCTTGCGTCTGCTCTGCTCCTGTGCAGACAGACCTTATACACGCACTGCCTGCCTCTTGACTTTATGAGGATGATGTTTTCTGCTGTACTCTGTGCTGTCTTTCCTCCAAATGTTGCAGAACCAGATGGTATTTTCTTCCTAAAATAGATAAAGCCATCACAGAAGTGCTTGAGATCAGTGGAACAAGCAGTGGAATAAAACAGCAAGGTGCTAAAGTAAAACTCTTCATCCCATTTCTACTCCTACGTAAAACTGAAGCCACGGTCCAGATTTGTGAAACTGCTGACGTTGATCCAACTGTCTTGTAGCACTGAGCCTGGGAATGCTAGCCAGAGCCCTGGGAAATATTTCTTCCTTTTAAGAGCAGACGCTGGATTCTCAGTGCAGCTTAGGCAGCACATGTGTGAATCCGTATAACCTTAGCTGGAGTGTGAGTCCTGGTAAGGAAAAGTGACTTTTGTTAGGTAGAAATAGATAAAGTTGGTCAGGTGTTCTTAAATATTTAATTCCCTAGACTAAATAGTTATTTTGCCTCCCAGGAGGCACTAAGAATAGTAGCAGTGTCAGGTGAGAGCGCACTGCAAGAAAAGAATAATGAAAGAAGTAAAGAAAGACCAGTAGCTGAATGTCACGCTGCTGTAATGTCAGAGGGCTCTGCAAAAGATTCACTTGATCCTTGAAAGCCCCAGTGAAATTTTTATTCCAACATCAGCAGCTGAGCAGACTGTAGAGATSGAAGTTACAAGGACGTCATTGGCAGGCCCAAAGGTCCTCCCAGATTTAGAAGGATGTCTGAACTGAGACGCGAGGATAAAAAGGCAAGGCTTCCTGTGAAGAGCATGAGAATTCACTGCGCCCCTAGATGGGCTGTAAATGAACTCTTCTGTTGTCCTTTGATTATGTTCAGCTAAGCGGAGGCTGGAGTACGGCTGCTGTGACTTGGTCTACTGAGAGCAGCCTTTTGAAGAACACCCCTCTTGATTTTTTGTATATAACAACAGTGCATCACTGGTTCTGGTACAAAGGAACTTACAAACATGCTCTTTATAAACCTAAGCACAAAGCTTCATAGTGAGAGGAGATATATGTGTTCTAATCAAGCAAATCAAGCATCAACGTTGTGGTTTTTTTTTTTTTTTTTTTTTTTTTTTTTTTTTTTTTTTGCAAGTGGTGATGTATTAACCAAGAGGAGATAAGGTCCTATTCATTAACTTTCCTATGCCATTGTGAGAATTAAAGTACAGTTCTGACTCCTTGCAACCTGAGGAAGTAATAGCTATGTGCGCAGAATTAAGCTGTGGGATGGGGCAGAAGGGAAGACAGAAGATTCCTGAAAAACATGAATTTACTACTWCTTTAAACAGAAAGTGAAATTGTACATAGGTATGATGAGAGACTATTCAGTGGTAGCAGAAACAAGGCATTAAAATGAAATGAAAGGAACAATATACGGAGTGAGGAAATGCAAATGTGAGGGGTAAGACAGAAACACTGGAGTCTTTGTAAAAACTTGAATTTTAASAGATTCTTAAGAAGTGACTTGGTAGAACTCTAGATGATTTCCCTGTTTTTTTTTTCTCTGCCAAATGTTATATCTGTTTCAGAGTGAAGATGTTATTAAATCTGAAAATGATGAGGCTGATGATATGCCAGAGGTTCAAGACACAGTGCAGTTCATACCAGGCAGTAAATTGCTTTGGAGGATAAATTGCAGACCACCAAACTCATCMCAGGTAACTGTTCCAATCAAGTTGAGTGTTCCCATCACAAGTGACTTTTCCAAAGGGACATGAGTATTGCTCAAGGGAAGCCCTGTTGTTAAGCCTAGTTACTGACGTGACTATTTTCTTGAATAATTCCAGAGTTTCGTCTTACGAAATCAAAGAATGCATACTTTCTTGAGCAAATTTGTAGTTTAGTTTTAGGGTTTTCTTTTATAAAAGTAATGATATTAAAAGGTCAGATATGGAGAAAAATCTATCATGGTCCTCTAAAGCAAAGACTGCTTAAAAAATGTAGGTGTGATTTCAATTTTCCCTGCCCCTCGTGTTGAAAAAAGAACATTTTTATATGAGCTAAATCCAACTTCGGGAGCAGCTCAGAGGAGCAATTTTGACTAGATTCTTATGCTTGGGAATTTTGGTGTATCAATTTGGTGTAGGTAAGCCAGTGCCACTTTGAAAAAAATAACTTGCTTATTATCTTTAATTTCCCTTTAAGATGTACAATTTTACCAGTTTTGCTGTGAGTCTCAATGAGCTAGAAAAGGGTATGGAAGCAATACTAGCTCCTACTGATTGTCGACTGCGCCCAGATATCAGAAACATGGAAGATGGAAACATGGGTATGTGTTTGTTGGAGGAAATATTTTTCTGTTACTGAGAGAAATGAATGGGTCTGATGCAGCTCTCATTCCCAAAGTTCCTGTAACTCTTTCTTTTTTCATCCTGCTCTAATGAGCATACTTGTGAACAATATATAAAATCTCTCCTTGAAAAGTCTGGGCGAGTAGAGGTGTGCAAGGTGGATTCCAAAAATTACCATGCTGCATTGTGGTGCAGTTGCATGTTTGGTAACTTGGAGAAGTTGTCAGACATGCTTTGTTGCTCTAGAATTTGTCTGGAAAAAGTGTGTGGAGAACAGATGTGCTCTGCTCTGAAGTTTGTCAGGAAATAATGGAAAAAACACTGTTTATTTTGCTCAGCCTGCCTTTTTTCCCCACTTCGTGCAGTGTTTCTAAGAGATAAAACACCAGAATTTCTTGATCATACGCTGTATTTGTAATCACAACCTTTCTGAAGTCACGGCTTTCGTTTTGTTAACTGAGATTGCCAAATGCCTCCTTTTGTTTAAGTGAACTATATTCTATTTCTCTGCAGTCTTTTCCCTGTTTTCTGCTTTTTTTTAGTTTTTATTTTGATAAATAAACAATTTTTACTGAAATGTTTTGATAGATCTGGCTAGTAAGGAAAAAGAGAGGCTAGAAGAGAAGCAAAGAGCTGCTCGCAAGGAGCGTGCAAAAGATGATGTGGAGTGGCACACAAGGTAAGGGGGAAGAAATTGGGCATGTATTTAATGTGGTGTGGWTTTGCTGCCTGAAATGTTTTTATTCAAGACAGTGTGTGCTTGATTTCCTGAATGACAGCACAGTTTGTAGTGTTTCTCAAAATTTTCACTTAGTCGATGTTTAAATACTGTGACTGGAAGCCAAAATGACTTATGATTTCTCCAGGACAGAATTATCTCAACAGCAAATCCTGATACCTGTCATATTTAACTATTGTGTCAATGCTGTGTGTGTATAATGTTTTTATTTATATTTATTTCCTCTCCCGCTTCCTACAGAGGTCATCTTTTTATGTTAGTGCATAAAACGTTAAGTCTCAGCTCCCCTTTAACTGCTTCCTGTCCCGTTTTTGGCAGTTGAGTAGCATGTTGTGGCCTTCCAGGGCTTTTTGCTTTCAGAAACTCAGTACTTTTTGGCKTGGTTACTTCAGAAATTGCTTTTTGAGTGCACATTTAAGTGGCTTCTCACTCGTAGACTGCATCATGGAGTAATGTGATTTGGCTCCTGCTTCTGGAACTGGTTGGTTGTGTAGATGCCAAGTGCTCTGCAGTCAAGTGGACACACGAGGCTGATTTCTGCAGGTGTTTCCTTCGTATGCAAGAACTTTTGGATGTTCCCATGATCTCATGAAATTCAGAAGAGAAAGCATTTTATTTCCAAAGGCTGGAGGAAACAGCTACAAACTTATTCCCATTAACACCTTTGAAAATCTCTTCTAGAGAACATAAACTGGATATCAGTGAATATGGCCAAAAACAGAGCATTTATTGAGATTCTGTGCAGCTCTAGAGCACAAACTGTTCCTGTTGTTTGGGCAGATTTACAAAGGATTGTGGAACAGTCTTGGCATTCTTCTAAGGAAAATGATTATGTGTGATAATAAATGATCAAAAAAATCAATATAGTCTTTATACTTAGAATGAGACAGCAATTTAAAAATCCATTTCAAATACCTTCTTGACTTCATCTAAAAAAGATGAATTAGAGAGTGGTTGCTGTTATATTAGAAGTTTAGTGACATACTTACAAAGCTTTGAATACCTCTGGAGAAAATAAGATTTTTCTTAGAAAAATCAGTATTTTTTAATAATGTCTTGTGATAGGAGCCAGGTATTCTCCCCCAGCCTTTTAATAACTGCTCCCTGTTTTTTACCATTTTCATTGTTTTTCTTTTTTTTTCTTTACAGATGGTTTCATCAAGGCACTAACCCATATACTGGGACTCCAGATTGGCTGTACTCAGGTGGTTATTTTGATAGAAATTTCTCGGACTGTCCAGACATATATTGAAATCACTGAACCAATAGCTCATCTCATCTGGACATCTAGTTACTAGATTTCATTCTAAGCCAGTGACTCTGGTTGTGTTAATAGCAAAAACCAGCTTTTCTAAGTAAATTTTAACAAAAATTCTGTCACTCAACAATCGAGGATTTAATTATCACTAACTTTGGATTGCCAAATATTTAAATACTGTTGCATTCTTGCGTAAAGTTGAAAATCATCATGTTTTCACTAATTTTTTCAAGGGACCTTTTGGTTGTTTTTTTTCCTAGTTTCTTTGTCAGAAAGGTATGCTGTATCTGGTAGAGCTTATAACAACCTTGAAAATTATGTAACTTCTATAAAATAAATAGAGATAATATCCTTGTTGCTTAGTACAGCAGCGAAGAGTTGTTAGGAATTTGGAACAGAGATGAAAGATTAGTATGGTGCAAACATGATGGCATATGTTTCAGTGGCAATTCCCCATGAAGAGCTGGAGGTGACGTTTTTAGACAGCAGGTAGTACTACGTGGGGATTGGAGCTCCTGGCCCCCTTTCTCTGTCTCTCAGTACGGTCCAATACTTCAGACTTGGGGGAACAAAACACAAGATATTAGCTTCTCAAGCTGTAGTTGTCTGTTACGGAATCTTTACAATCTTTGGACACTGTGAGTATTAAACTCYGTACCTGTGATAAAATTGCATAAAACATAGGAGAAGGATGCATTWAAAAAGTTGTCTTTTTCTGAAGTAAAATGCTATCCTAAAAAATAGGAAACTTCAGAAACAATTGTAGGAATGTTGAAGTGGTTACAGTGTAAAATATATTGCTTGCTACCACTTGGAGGCTTAGATCTCCAGCACTACTTTTTGCAGCTTTGGCACTATATATGCTTCTAGACTAAACTTTTATTTGGAAGCACTTGGTAGACATATCCACACATATCCATTCCCGTTTTGGGGATGTTTTTGTTTGCATGTTCTTCATTATTAGGTCATGTCTGTTCTGTATGTTGTGAAAAAACAGAACTAATTTAAAACTGTGGCATAGTTATACCTATTACAAGTTTTCAAAATTTCTGTGAGCACGTGCTGTCATATAAGTAAAAATATTTTTGGTACCATATTGAAATATTAAAGCCATATAATCCTGGAACTATTTGAACTATAGATCAGTTACTATTATTGATGCATTCATTTTCCTTCAAAGCGGTACACTTCAGAGAGGGGGAAGGAGGCTTGAAAAACTAAGTTGAACAATTTAAGCTAACTTTAATTTTTGTTGTTTTTTTTTGTGAAAATTTTTAATTTAGTAACCAAGCAAAGCTGCAGAATGGCTGCAGTGCAGCTAAGTTTACAGTAATTTAGGCATTGATAGTGCTAGAAACCAGAAGAATTAGTGGAAGAACTGATCAGATCGATTACCCAGACACACTTGTGGCTTCATTTAAAGATTAGCTTTAGAATTGCTTCTCCCTGAGGATTAAAAAACAAAAGAAAATAAACATCACCCTGATGAAATATTTTTATATGAAGTCAAGTAGTTAAAGATCAGATTAACTATAAATTTGTAAAGATTTAGTTGCCTTCTTCATTAAAAAAAAAGTAAGGAAGAGTAATTGTAAAAAACCCAGGCAATAAATGAGGACAAAATCTAGAATGTACTTATGGCATCTTCTTTCTGTTGCCAGAAATTGGACTTTGGGCTGATTGCAGCTTTCAGACATAAAACTTAGACTTTGAAATACAGTGGAAATTAATGTTTGTTCCTAATAAGTGTCTAGGCATTTGACTTTTAAAAGATATTGCTGATCCTTATGGAACAGCATAATATTTCATAACTCTTTCAGCCTTTTTGTAAAAAAATAAAAAAAAAACAAAAAAAAACTTTAATGGCTTTCAAGTAAAGGAACCATTTATATAGGTGAGTCTKGAGAGGATTCATACATCAAGCTGTTTTTAAAATCTCATGAGAGTTTAAAACTTGCTTAAACTAAATAGCACGTCCCATGTATTCGTCTTAAAATATTTTCTAAATTGTAGTTACCCAAATGGAAAAATAGTATAGTAATTGCTGAAGAAATACTCTGAAGCAATATGGTTCGCAACTCTCTACAGGTCATGATTTAAATTCAGAAAGACATAACCCCTTTTAATTATGCACAACTATGAAAACATAGTAGCAGGATGTTTAATCCAAACTGCACTATGCCATTTTCATGGATTAAAAAAAAATTGGGAAGTTTTCTAAAGTAGGATTATTTTTTCTTTGTSTCCTCCTCTTCCTTTAGTGTATTTTTTTGAAAACAAAAACAAAAAGACTATGTTGGTTTCAGTCTTATCTCTATATAGTTTAATGTTCTTCATTGCCTCATGGAAAATACTTAAATATTTCCCAGCACTGATGCAATGTATCTATTTGGCTGCCCATGAGATGYGTACTGCAAAATTTTGATTACTCTGAAAGTGGAAAAGTTTTATTTTAAATGCAGATCTCACCTCAGTAGTTTACTTGTCAAAGCATTGATAACTTTGCACCTTTTAAAAGAATGTCACTTTTATAACTTGATAAAACACTGACTGTATATAAAATGACTGTGTTAGTATATGTTAATATAGCTATACAAAGATATCATCTAGAAAGAAATTATAAGAAATGCTTAACACTTCAGACCTCTGGATGGTGAGAGGGGTTTTTTGTGAAGTGTAGTTCATRTGTTTTGTAGGGCAAGAAAACAGTTGGAGATTACCCTGCCTTTATTGCTGAGCTAGTGTTCAGATCACTTGCATTTTGTATTTCCCTTGATACTTATTAGACAAATATAATTTTAATTAGATCTTTGACACCTCCATCCCAGATCTAGCTTTTTTTTCCTTTCTTTTTTTCCCCCTTTTTTTTTTTCCCTGCACGTAAGTGGACTAAGTTTCTTAACAGCTGCTTATTGTGCAGCATATTGGAAATAAGAAATGTGGAATGATATCAATGTGCACTGAGAGCTGTCATGGCAAAGGGCACGTAATTGGTGGAACTCATTTCTGAAATGCAAGAGGTAAAAGACAGGGCCTGGGAGTTCTGTGGGAGCTGTGGGATGCTAAATGCTGATAAAAGCCAAGTGTTAATTGGAGAAAGGGGGAGTAAGTGGACTTTATTTAAAAAAAAAAAAAAAAAAAAAAGTGGAAATAGAAAGCTACCTTTACAGACACTGTATACCTTCTTGTTCTATGTCTTTGAGGCAATGTCATACTGCAAACTGGGAGCAGCTTTTTTCAAACGTCAAATGTCTGTGTAATTATTGGTGCCCAGATGAATGATGACAGGAAGCACAGGCTCTAAATTAGCAAGAAAAAAAAAACTAATTAACAGTATTTATTCCATTTTGATAATTAAAAAACACTTCTCAGTTCTTTGAAGTAAAACATTGAAACTTCTATTTTTTTCATTGAAATTGAAGGGAAAAAAGGGCATTCCCCCAGTAAACTCTTCCCCACTTAGTTCAACTAAAGCAGAGCTGTTGTAAAAGCCTCGAGCTCTGTGGCAGTCACGTTGTGTGTGATGAAGGGGCTGCTCTTTGAGGGCAGATGTCCCCTTGGTCCCTCGCCCTCCTCACCCATGTCCTTGTGTTCGATGTAAACATAAACGCTTGTTTATTACAAGAATTTGGTGATACACTCCAGCTTGCTCTCATTGGAAACACCCATGACCGGGGTCAACGGTATGATAAAGCAATATTTAAATTATGTAAAGCTAATAGCTCTAACRCCTGATTGGATGCTCAGTATGTTTTTATAGCATGAAAAGTTTAACAAATGCTTATATCCAGCATTCCAGTCCACTCTGATTTATACTTCTATGAAGCTGCTTCTTGCCTTACTCAATGGCCGTTCTCCAGCCCTCACCCGGTGTCTGCATGATGAAAGCGCTCTAGTGAAATGGATTTATTTTTATAATATTTAATAACTGTCAATACCCATCTCTATTAACAACCATCCAGCTTTTTAGAGAAGTCTGTACAGGTTTGTGGACATACATGTTAAACTGTAAAACTGTAAATCTGAATAAAGTTCATTTTGGAGAAGAGGCCCTGCCTGTCGCCTCTGCTTCCCTCAGCGCGGGGGGGGGGGGGGGGGGGGGAGCGGCCATCTTGCCCCGGGGCTCCGCCCCCCGCCCCCATGACACAGCACAACGGCGTGGGGGGGGCACGTGTGGCCGCGCGCGCTTGAGTGACGGCGGCGGCGCCCAACGGGCTGCGGGGGCGGGCGCGGCGAGGGCGGTGCTTCCGGTGCGCGGAGCAGGAAGCGGGGAGCGGGGCCTGCRGGCGCGGCGGCGGCAGGTACCGGTGGCGGGGGGGAGGGGGGCACACGGGGCGGGGGCCGAGCTCCGCACCCCCCGCGGGGCCGCCGCTCCCCTCCCCCCCGGCCGCCGTCACCGTGGGGAGCGACCCGGCCCCGGGGCGGCCGCGGGCCCGGCCCGCCCGCCGTGACTAAGCGCTGCCCGCGGGGCCCCGGTGGTGCCGGGGTGCTGCTAATACAAATCCCCAGCTCTCGTTCAGAAGCGGCTCGAAACTAAAGCGCGGAGCGGGGCGGCGGCGATTGCCGTTGCGGGGCAGTAACGGCTGTTGTAGTGGCGGAGCCCGTGGCGGAGCCCGTGGCGGGCTCGGGACGCGCGGCCTGCGCCGCCCAGGCAGGCGGCGGCGGGGGGCGAAATCCCGAGCTCGCCCCGGCACCCGTGGCGGAGTCGGCAGGGCCGAACCGCGGTAGAGGTTTGTGCAGTTAGAACATCGGCGATCCCATGAACTGCCGTCTTGGTCCCACGAACAGGACCCCATGAACTTGGCCTCTTCCTTTAGAGACCAAGGGAAGCAGTTTGGGGAGAAGGTGATCTCGTTTTCCAGGGCATTAGCAGTGGAGGAGCTGTGTCTCCTTCAGCTCCCTAGGCTCTGCTCAGCTTTTGCGGTGCCTTCCCGCTCCCGGAGCCCGTGGAACAGATTCCTCTTGTGCAGCTCGTTAGTGAAGTCCCGTGTTTGGAGGAGGGGGTGCGGGGAGCTTCCTGGTCACGGCTGCCGGTCTCTCTCTGTTCCAGGATGTCCTCGGGCGCGTTGTTTCCGAGCCTGGTGCCAGGCTCCCGTGGCTCTTCCAGCAAATACCTGGTGGAGTTTCGGGCAGGGAAGATGTCCCTGAAAGGCAGCACTGTAACCCCGGACAAGAGAAAAGGCCTCGTTTACATCCAGCAAACTGATGATTCCCTCATCCACTTTTGCTGGAAAGACAGGACTTCAGGCAACGTTGAAGACGTGAGTATAGTTCACATTTCAGGGTGTTGAGTCACGGTGTTGTCTTGTTTTTGTTWTGTCAGCATTGTAAAGGAGCTTTTTAAGACAAATTAGGGTGAGAATGGCACTGTGGCTTGATAGACTGGCACATCTAAATCCTAATGCCAGAGGGCTTGGGCAGGAGAGCAGAGGCCTTTGTAGAACTCAGATATTTCTAAAATGTTTCTTCCTATGCTGTATTTTCCAGGATTTGATTATTTTTCCTGATGACTGTGAATTCAAGAGGGTGCCTCAGTGTACGACTGGTCGTGTGTATGTGTTGAAATTCAAAGCGGGATCAAAACGGCTTTTCTTCTGGATGCAGGTTTGTGACAAGTAGATAACGCTGGTCTTGAAACAAGAAGATTTTAGTTTGTCCTGAAGATATATTAAAAAAAAATCTCTTACAGGAGCCGAAGACGGATAAGGACGAAGAACATTGCCGTAAAGTGAATGAGTATCTCAACAACCCTCCAATGCCTGGGGCTTTGGGTGGTAACACGAGTGGAGGCCACGAGCTCTCAGCCTTAGGAGGTACAGTCCATTCTCTGCTCTTTAATGTGAGAAGCTTCTTTAGAAAATAAGCACTTGTAGTTTGCCAGGAAGAAATTCCTGAGCACTTTGGAGGGTGAGTTGGGAACAATGTTAATACCAGAAGTGTAAACACATTTTTAGCAGAATAAAATGCGCTGCTGTAATAGGTGCAGGTCAAAGGTAAGACTGCCAGAAGAAATCTCTCTTGTTGCCAGCAGATTCTCTGGAGTCTTACCTCTTTATGAAGCCAAGTTGCATTTATCTTTTATGAGCACCGTGAATCAGTAAACACTTGGAACTGTTTTTTTCCATACAGAATGTGATGCCAATTAATCTCCTGCTGTTTGAGCCGGAGTGCTGTGAAAAACCTATGTGAATATGTTGTGTTTCAGAATGTTTTTGTTTTTAGGTGAGGGTGGCTTGCAAAGCCTTCTTGGAAACATGAGCCATAACCAGCTCATGCAGCTGATCGGACCAACGGGCTTAGGAGGACTTGGTAAAATGCTTTAATATCTTTATGCCAAAATGGTGTTTTCTCCTGCCAGGTTAAATCTTACCTGACAATAAACATTTTCAGGCAGTGCTATTTATTTGAATAGCACTTCCTTGAGATGAGAAATGAGGCCTTACCTCAAAGATGAGCTCTGGGGCAAAAAGAAAGCAGCARAAGAAAAGGTTGTAGGGAAGCAAGGGAAGCAGAAGGCAGCCCTCCTCTTAGGGCCTGATCTGCAAGGAACATAGATTCTGTTCCTTGTTCCACCAGATCTTCCACTTTCCCTTCCCTCTTCTTCCTCCTAAACGTTTACTGGACCAGGGATTAAACAGCAGGCTGTSAGAGTAGAGTCTTCTCTAGTTATCAGTCTTGCATGTGTTGTCTCTGATACGGTGAATATTTGTGTGCAAAGCAGAATGGCTTCAAAAGGAAGCCTGGAGTGTATCCACCTCAGTGCAGTTTGTAGCTCGGGAGCGCTTAGGTCTTTCTCTGCTGGGCTTTGCTAGGAAGGGCTTTTTCTGAGGGAAATGAGAGGTATGGGGTGCTGTTGCAGTCTGCCCTTAGCACTGTCCTTGCTCAAAGCCCAGTAGAGGATTTCCTGAGAAATCGGACCCTGCTGTTGAAGTAGGCAAAGGAGTGTTTAGCAAGTGGCAGTGACAAAGCTTGGGTGCTTAAGCTCAAAATTCCTTTTCCTGGTAGATCTCACCTTAGTATCTTTGTAGTGTTAAGTGCAAGTCTGATRTTGGTGGAGGAAACGTTGTAAGATTCTGACTTCTTAGGATGTGTATGGGAAGAGGCTCT